GGGCAGCTTGGTGCCCCACCTCTGCCAAACACACACTGCATTACAGATCACAGGGTAAGAAGGGTGCTTTAAAAAGCCATTTGTTAGCAGAAACACTGGTACAGCCCAAAGACTTCTGATCTTTCTGGATTTCTGCTCTGTTTTCTCAGGACAGTGAATTAACAGCATACAGGAAATAGCTGAATACTGTTAATTACTTAGCTGGATTTATCCGGTTTTGCCTTGTTTTTCAGATACCCACACAAGCGTTGCACCTCCTATGTATTAATATTCTCAGCCAGGTACCCAGCATTAATAAAGAAAACATATAAAACAGTTAATGGAATCTGCACTAAATCTGTAGATGCCATCAAGATAAAGGAGCATTTTTGTTAAAGTTTGACTTCTTTACAACACAGAAGCAGGTGGGTAATGAAAGGGCTTTCAATACACCCTCTGAGCTCTGACAACTAAATTACACACACTCCCATGAGTGTGCAATGGCAAGAGCAAACTACACAGCTTGAACAAAGCTGGACCCAGAGCCAGCTCTTGAAACACAGATTTAAAGTAACAAAATAGAGCTCCTTTGGTGGGACAGGGAATTCACCTTCCTCTTCAAAAGATTTGGTCAAACCGACAGATTCAGAAGAGGAAGGATTTACCTTCCTCCCCAAAACTTTTGGTCAAACCTACAGGTTCTTGTTTCAGCTTAGTTGAGCAGAAGGTGAGGTACTCAAAAAGTAAATTACTCTCAAGGGACCTTCACAGTTTTCATAGAAATTTAAAGCAAGCAGTCTGCTGTGGTGCAAGGCAGACCCAGCCCAGGCACAGACGAGGAGCTCCTGTGGGTCAGCACCTTCAGAAAACTTGCAGGGACTACATGGCCAGACCACTTTTGCCAAAACCTCCATCTACTTGCCAGTATAGGCAGCATGGCTGATACTCAGAGTATTTTCCTCCTGCACAAGCAGAAAAGATTAGAATCAACAGAATTCAACAACTCAAACAAGTTCTGCTGATTCTCCAATGGCCTCAGGCCAAAATGTCACAGTGCCTCAGTTCTTCGGGGAGGTTTCAGAGCGGGGCTGCAGAGCGTGAGCTGGAGTTAATGGAGCATCAGTGTGGATGGGAATGATCCAGGGTGCAGCCCAAAGCCTAATCTGAAATCAAAAGCACTCTCAGTCAACCATCACTTTGGATATGAAGAGAGAACACACCCATCAAGATGCCTGAATTGTCAAGGTGACCCTTCTTAGGGACTACTCCCATTAAGTGATGTCAAGCACTGTGGCATGTCTTGCCTTCACTCCCCTCCTTAAGAAACTACAACCCCACTGAAATGCACTTTTTTTTGACTGTTAAAAAAACTGTAAAACTCACAGTAAAAAACTTCCCATACCAGATGTCAGCAACCTGAATTAAAATCCACCAGTACAGCACAAATTCTTCCTACAGTTAGGGAAATTTTGAGAGACTGTGGTAAGGCAGAGAGTCAGAGGTAAGAAAAGGGTTAAGTCCTCAAAATCTAGAAAATTGTTAAGACTGCCCTGTGTCATTCAACTTTTCAAAAAAAAAGGGAAAGGCCAATGCAGAACCTGCATGTGTTTTCTACTGAGTTATTTGCTAGACTCTGATTAAGTGGGAAAGAATGGGTGTAAACTAATAAAACTTGAGGATCTCTAATTAAACCACAGGCACCATGCCAAGCATTGTTGATTTGTTGATGCACCCTGCAATGTCAGGACTCTAAGGACACAACAGGTCATTAAAGTATTAAACAGATGACTTACACCCTTTAATCAGCGCTGGGATGCCAGGTTAGGAAGAGAGAGTAAATTCAAGGGCAGAGTACAACAATTATCACCAGGAAACAAACACAGCATTTAGGGAAAGCGGGGAGAAGTTGTTAGCAAGTAGTTATTGCACAAGGAAAGGGCTGCATTGCAGAGCCCCACACCTGGGTCTTTTATGACAGTCATCTCCCCACTCTGCAGTAGCAAGGAAATCATGCAATATTTGTAATTTTTAGCTCTTTGCCGTCAGAAGAAGCACTGCAGCTTCCTCTGCCCGGCAGATCTCTGACCCCATCTACAACAGCATCTCACATCTTTGTCACCTCTTCACACCTACTGCCAGCTCTGCTAAACTCTGTCAAACTGCAACTGAGACACAGCAGCCTCGTTTTTCCAAAGTGCAGCACCCAGAAACATCAGCTATGCTTGTGAACAAGGGACTGAAATAAGGGTGGGAGGAAATGCAGAGCTTTAAACCCAGTTTTCAGCTCCTTTAAGGTCAGCACTTGCCTCTGACTTGAGCTTCCTCTCCAGGGGGAAAAATCTTCAGTGATTTCAGTGATTGTAAACTCCCCCTCCAAATGAACAGCTCAGTAAAGGGCATTTCGTCTGAGGTTTCACAGAAAAACTAGAAGCAGAAGAAAGGAGATCCACAAGCTGCAAAGAGCCTCACATATATTGCTCTGTGGAAGCCTCACAAGGCAGCTATTTGGCAGTTCCCCCAGATGTACAGATATTTATAGGAAAATAAAAGTGCTCATCTAAGTGAGTACTGGAAAGAGTAATGTATGGCATTTTCATCGTGTTTTCACCCTGCACAGCCCCTCCCCAGAGTCTGGGGATCCAAAAAAAGGCAAGAGAAATAATTTAAAATACAATAGAGATCCCCAGTTTGCCCTGAAGGCTCTGCTGATGAACTATTAAAAAGCTTCTTCTAGCCAAACAAGACACTTGGAGAACGGAGCAGATTCCCCACCACATTGTTTCATAAGACAGCACTGAAATTTAACCAGTGTCTGTTACAGCTGAAAATACAGCAGTCACCGAAAAAGTGATTTAATGTGCCTATTAAAGAGAAAGGCTGTAATTGGATGCAGTCCTCAGTTTGACTTCTGAACGTCCCTGAAAAAATACATCAGCTTTAAAAACCTCCAAGATTTAATGTGTAAAGAAGAGCATTTAGTTCTGAAAACACGGCAGTTTGTGCTGGTAAATGATATCAGCAGCAAGTCCTCCATGAGCAAAGCTCAGGGGAAACCCTAAGTGCAGACTAAACCCAGCAGTGATTCGCAGCATTTCTGTCATATTGTTTTACTATATGCAGAAAAAATTTCAACTTTTTTGGAAAATAAAAGAGCACAGGACTTTTTTCAGTAAGTTTAAGTGACTTCTCATTACCCCGTGTCCCCATCCTCACAGCCTGACAGAGAAAGCAGCACTGAAGCTGGGAACATTCCCCAAACAACAGATTAAACAATGTATTTAATGTCTTCTGCAATGGAATTTTACTACATAGCTGACATTCTGTACAGCATATTCATCTCTGCACAAATGATCTTACTGGGAAAGCAGCTCAGCAGAGATACCCCACTTCATTTACAGCAATTTTGGATGTAGCAGAGCAGTCTGCTTGAAATGCAGAACGCCCAATAATAAGCTACCACTTGTGAGCATGGCAAAAGTAAAGGCAGTGACCTCAAATTTAAAATATTTGTGTTTATATTTTTTTGTTTTAATGGCAAAGCTGCCACCTGCCAGTTCCCGAGGTTACTGCATCAGGCCTGAGCCCAACTCTGCTCAGCTGAGCCGAGTCCAGCTCAGAGCTGCACAAAAATAAAGCCCCATCCGAGCTGGCGTGACAACATTTACCACTGGCAGGGCTGCACAAATTCACAAACAACCCAGAGCCTGATGTGGAAAGGAGCCAGGGGAGGGGAGAGGATGGAACAAGTTCTGCAATCACTTATCCCAGGGAAGATATCCCTGGAAGATCCAGCTGCAGTTTAATTAGTCACACCACTGCTTACCAAGCAGCATCTCAGGCAGAGCATGTGGCATCAGCACGGCAGAGTCTGGCCAGCATCCATGCAGCTCTGGGGCCACACAGCCTCACTAAACACCGGTTCACCCCGGGCTGAGCCATCCCAAGCGGGCTCTGAGGACTCTTCTCACTGCCCTCACCCAAAAGAGGAAAGGCAGCCCACGTTTCAGCAGAGAAATGTGGTTGAAACAAATCCATTTCCCCACTTAAAACACCTAAACTTTGAAATCCTTGCAGTCGTTTGTGATAAACTACCCTAAATCTGCAATTCCTTGGGCTATTCTGGAAATCTCCCCTCCTTGGTTTTGGGGATAAAAGCTAGAGACAATCCTGAATGGGTAAGATGCATGATATCACCTGTCTAAAAGGAATTCCCCTTTCACTCTTGTCATGCTCCACAAATGCCAGTTTTTTCTTCTCAAACTGTCTTAAGTCACACCTACAGCTATTATTCCAAATGCTATTTAGTACCAGACTTTACAGGCTTGTAAGATCTTTCAATTTGTCCACTCCTCTTTCCTATAAGCTTTTCCTTGGAGTAAAACTGCTCCCTACAAAACTTGCTTTTCATAATGGTTGAGAGAGAAGACAACACTGTCCTGTAAAAGTATTGAAGAGCTCTGCCATGACACAGTAATGCTCAGGACAGTGTAATAAGGAGAGCTGAGGAAGGAACACACCATTTTCCTTGTCTGAATTTAAAAAAAACCCACAACAGAAAAAGCAATAATTAGGTCAGCAAGTAGCACTACTTGCAAAGGGGAAAAAAAAACTGAGGAAAAGGAGTGCCTCCTTGTTCAAATGTTTATTATTCAAAACATGCAGCAGAGTCTTAAAAACGGAGTAAAAAAAGTAGTTAGAAAAGTGTTACAGCCAGGCTGGGAAGCCCAGTTCACGCTGGAGTTCAGTGTAGGGTAAAGCCAGCTCCTGAAATACACCCTGCCCCTGCAAGGGGAGACTCCTGCACACTGTGGCCCTCAATAAATGGGAGTTCAGCCCATGCCACCAGCTTCCAAAATACAACAACAAACCAAAAACCAAATCAATTCTTCCACAGTAGTTCTGTTTATAAAACATGCCCTTAAAAGCACATGAAACTCACAGGCAGCCACTCTCCCACTCATGCACTCCCTCTCTGCCATCACTTATACACCCAACACAGGAGGTGGGAGCCCAGAACTCACCAGAAGCTGTGTGCAAATCAGCTGCTATCCCTTTGCTCATCAATTCGTACTGGAAGCCTGTGATCTTCCTGCTAATGTCCTGCTGAGGAGTGGCCTCCACAAACAGACCCCCCTGGTCGTAGCCGAAGCAATACACTCTGCTGGGGCTGCGGTCTCCATCTCGGACCAAGAGTTTCAGTTCTCCAGTTTTTTCCAAATAAATATTTGCTCCTGCAGAGTCTTTGAAGGGCTTTATGCAAACAGTCAAGTGTTTGTATGAGGCAGGTGAGATGTTGGGTCGCAGGTTGACTATGAGTGCTCCCGTGGGGTACATCCACTCTATGGACCCTTCAGAACAGCGGAGGTAGACCTGTTCAACATCCTTCCTGTGAGACTCATGGGTTAAGCCACTGGAGGAAGAAAGAAAGAGAAGGTTACAGGAATGACAGAGCTAACAATGGGAATGTCAAACCTTTCAAAACACACAGCAAGAAATGCAGGAAGCCCAGGACATCACTGGGTGTTGGCCCATCCAGCTCTGCAGTGCAGGTCTCTCCTAACACTTCGACCTTAATATTACAGAACAATTTTAAATCATCCCCCAGAAGAAAATGTTAAACCACTAGTAATCGGCTTCAAAATTAAATAGGATATAAGCACATGATCAAAAGTAATTAAATTACTACAGGCTCAGTTACTGCCCATCAGCTGAGCTGTGCGTACTGAGTAAAACACGTAGGCTCAAACTCCCTTCCTGGTGGCTCAATCCAGCTTCGCAGATCAGACTCCACCTTTTTCCAAGTACTTTGTTCCCCTTCCAAGTCTATATTCCCAATGGATCTGAAACTGGGAGGGATGCCAAGCTCACCCTGTAAACTGCAGCAAAAGCAATGCTCTACGTGCTCCCGATACCCTCGAGCCCAGCTGGGCAGCCCCAGTCTCCACACTGGGAGGCAGAAAGAGGAGAGGAGACACCTCTCTCCATGTCCTAGCTGGGGAAGCACTGAACTGTGCTGCTTTTTTTGGTAGGAGCCTGCTGCTCCACTGCCACCCAGTATGAGGTTTAAGCTCAGTTTATCGTTTTCACTGATGGACTACAAGCAGACACATATTTTAGTGTAGTGCGAGTGGTGACATCAAGCCCTGGCTCCTCAGCAGAAACCTCCAAACACACAGTTCCCCATCCCAAAGACATATTTGGGTACTGAACAGGGTCTAAATTCAAGTCAGCACTTAGAAAGTAACTACAAGCAATGTGTAAAAGAGAAAAAACCCAAAACATATGGTTTGCATTTACTGTTGACGTGACTCATTATTGTGAGTGTCAGTGTGACCTACTTGATAGAGGTTACACAAGGAAGCTCAGAAAGAAAAAAGTCATATTTAATAACAATAGAGCCTCCAAACATGTGCTTTTGAAGAATCTTGAAAGCCACATCAAGAACACAGATGAAGAGGAAAGAGGGACAAGTTTTTAACCTTTAGACTCTTGCCCTCAAATTCAGTAGTATTTAACACATTCAGGAAACTTTACTTGCAAAGGGATATTTCAAGTTGACTGTAAATCCACATCTGGTCCACAAAATCAGTTTTCACCACAGCACACACATGATGCCACTCAACAGAAAACACAGAAGTCTGTTTATATGCAAGCTGCAAATAAACAAAATTAAACAGTGTAAAAGTTATCCATCAGCAAAGGGGCAGAAAGTTATCCTCACACATCACTTGTCCCTACTCAAGACATCAAAATAAGCTGCAAAGGTTTTGCAGGACTTATACTGGCACCTTCCAGCCTGAGTGCTTAAACAGAAGGAAGACAGGGGCAAAACTCTGAACTCATGCAGTGAAACTTCTGTAGCAAGTGATCCCAACAACAGTGAGGCAGTGAATTTCTGCCAGAGGGGAAAAAAAAAAAAAAAAAAAAAAGCTACGTTAATTTCGTTCAAACATTCATAGTGTTCAAACGAAAACAGGGTGGACTCTGAAATTATCTTCTGAAAGCCAATTTATCCCACAGGCAAGAGTGATGCCATTAGACAGATACATCAAGCACGAGTACCTGCACACATTAAGCCTTATAATAAAGGATGACTCAAAAGTTAAGCAGATTTCAAAATACATGTTCACATTATTTAACAGCAACCATCATCACCCAGTAGAACCTGTCGCTTTGCTTTCAGTCAGAATGACTTGTCCTCACACAGACTGTTTAACACCAGGTTTAGCTCTCACTAGCCACCCATCAGACACACCAGGCCCACATGGAGACCCAGGAGCCTTTTTATTCTCCCAACTCATTGGAGTTTTGGTTTTTTGATTATATGGAGAGGACATAGGGCAGGTGTTTCATGATTAACAGTGGTGGATGAACCATCCGCCCATTTTAAATGCGTGCTGTTTATTGGGACTGACTTCTATGACAAGCTACTTCTGCAGCTACTTCCTCATCCCAATCCATGAGGACATCCTGAATCACTGCATCTGTCTCCTTGCTCTTCTCCTTTTCTGGCTTCAGCCATCCCCTTATGTCTGCACTGAAAAACCTGTTACAATATCACTGCAGTGAGCTCTAATGCTGCAATGTGGAGCAGGTGTTATTTAAAGAAAAAGGGAGCAAGAAGAATATTCACACTGCCTACTTCAGTTATTTCTTTATTCCATTAAAGCTGTGCTGAAGAGCTCTACAAGCACCCATGTCCTCCCTGCACCCTACAATGAACACTGGGAACTTTTGCTCCTAAATTGGAGAATTTATTAAGAGATGACAGTCTAGAGAACATTGGGAATTCCTCAGAGCATCCACCATACCAAGAGCAAGACTGATGGCCAAAAGCAGCCACATAAGAGCTGAATTCTCTACCCTACAGTCAGACATGCCAGGCCAGCATATTCTCTCAGCCTGTCACTGAAGAACTTTTGCCCAAAGCATCAAGAGGTCATTGCAGCACAAAAAAAACTGAAGCTACAGCAAAAGTAATAACTGGACACATCATAGTGAAGTTTCTGCTTTCTCCTGGACAAAGCTTTCCTGGAAGCTCTCTGACAAGCTATTTATTAAGATGCTATTATGGCTTGTACTTAAATTGCAGGTGTCAAGCTGTGCACTGCATCAGATTTCCCTGGAAGCATCAGGGATATCCAAAGGAATCTTGGTGAAGTTCTTCATCCTACTCAGGGGTATAAGTTCATCACTTCTCCACAAGCAAATAGGGGGAAAAGAATATATCCAGAATGTTTTGGTTTTAAGACTGTTGCTTTTAATACAGACATGTATAGAAAAGTGAGAAAACACCTTCAGGTTCAGAAGATGACATGACTCTCAAATCCACCAGCACAAGCCACCCTATGACTTCACTTCCCCCCACCCCAAGCATCACCCTTAGCTGATACTCAGGCATTGCTTATTCTAACCCTGCTCAGGTGAATGAGGGGTCACTGCTTGCTCTAAGAAAACAAGACAAAAATAACAGCAAAACAGGGCAGAATTGCAGGGGATTGTCACCGTTCTTTTAAAATCCTTGCTGCAGTACCAGATAGTAAGGTCCAGGTAAGTACGGCAGCTGGGATGCTTTGGAATGCTTTGGTACATCATTTTCAGGGGGGTTTTTTGTATGTTTGTTTTGGGGGGTGGGGGTTGTTTGGGTTTTTGGGTTTTGTTTTGGTTTGGTTTGTGTAAAGAAAAATGACAAATTAGGAGTTTGCCAGAAGTTTGATCCCTATCAAGCAAGTGGATTCTTTGTCTTCAAGTGGATTTACTGATATTAAAGATGCATCAATTATCAAAAAAAACGCAAAAAAAAAAAAAAGTAAATACAAAGCACCACGTTTCAGACAGTAAGAGATACGGAAACATGATGCTGAAAGTCAGTCCAATTGTTTCCCCATTTTGAATTCTCTCGACTCCAAAACACCCCACTGATACAGGCCAGCCAAACTTTTATGTTAGAAAAAGTCAGATCTGAAGAGTGTATTAGAATCAGGAGCTATTTTACTCTCCAAGTAAGTCTGACCCATCAACACTTGCTAGTTGAGCAGAGCTGCTTTTTTAAACCTATGAAGAGAGGAAAAGGTCACAGACCCAACCACACGCGTTAAACATATTACAAGCAATTAAAGGAAAGATAATTTGGGAGATAAACACTTGAGAACTGAAGAGGTTTCTCAACCGGTGCAATTAGAATAAATCAGCAGCGCGGTCGCTGTGCCAGCTCCCACTCCCGGAGCTCATCATCATCATCATCATCATCATCCTGCGGGACGAGGGAGCGGGGAGCGACCCCGGGGCTGAGCGCCAAGTGCGGGACGCGCTCGGAGGGGACGAGAGCAGCGAGAGCGGCGGGGAGGGAGGCGCTGGGGCGGCGGGAGCGCTCCGCAGGTGCAGCGCATCCCAGCGCCGCTCCGAGCCGCGGTCACCCGCATCCCAGCGCCGCTCCGAGCCGCGGCCGCCGCCTCCGCGGTGAAGATGGTCGCGGGGAGAAACTTCTCCGAGGCGGACTTGGCACCGCCCTCCCTCTCCCAGCCCCCCGAACAGCCCCGAGGGGAGCCCATCCCGCCCCGGCCCCTCCACCCCGCCGAGGGGAGCCCAGCTCGCTCCGGCCCCTCCACCCCGCCGAGGGGAGCCCAGCTCGCTCCGGCCCCTCCATCCCTCCTTGCACGGGGGTTGTTGCCCAGTGTCACTCCGAGGTGAGCCCGCCGGGAGGGAGGGAGGGAGGCAGATCCGCCCCCGGCTCTCCGCCGCCCCGTTCCGGGCACCGCGGCGGGAAGGTCTCCCTTTTGTGCTCGGCATCAGCATCTTCCCCCGGCGGGACGGCGATGGCCGCGGCAGTCCCCGCTCCCCCCTGGCCGGGCAGCACGCCGCCTCACCTCCCCTTCCAGTTGCACAGGTCGCTGGAGTACTGAGCCGCGGCGCCGCCGCCCAGCAGCAGCCGCAGCCCCAGGAGCAGCGGCAGCAGCCCGGAGACCGGGGCGCTCCGCATGGTCCCCCGGGCCGGTGCGAACGCGGTGCAGGCGGCGGGGAGCGATGTGCGCGGCGCCCGGGGCTCGCCTACATGGTGGGCAGCTCGGCAGGGCGGCGCGGCTACCCCATCCCCGGCTCCCGCATCCCGGCTCGGCGCCGCTCGGCTCTGCCGCTCGCACCCGCTGGCTGCGGGCTCCCAGCTGAGGGGCGGGAGCGGCTCGGCCGAGGGCCGGCTCCTCCTCCGCCTTCCCCCTCCCGCCGCTCCTCCTCCGGCAAGGCCGGCACTTGCTGCGCCGGCAAAACGCGGCGCCGGATCGGGAGCAGCGACCGCCCGCGGCTACGGCCCGGCCCGGGCTCCGCCGCTGCCCCGAGCCCCTTTGGCGGCTGTCCCGGCCCGGGGTGAGAGCCCGCTCCGCTCCTGCCCCGCCCCGCCGGCGCCCAGGCTGCCCCGTGTAGGGAGGGGTGAGGATGGGCAGGACCGAAGGGTTTCGTGTGGCCGGGAAACTTTCTGAGACGCGCCCTCCGCGCTGGGGCGGCCCGCAGTGACCCCCAGCCTGTCCCTGGGGATACCCGCAGTGCCCCCCAGCCTGTCCCGGGGGTGCAGCCCTGGATACCTGCAGTGACCCCCAGCCTGTCCCGGGGGTGCAGCCCTGGATCCCGGGGGTGCAGCCCTGGTGCCCTCAGTGCCCCGCAGCCTGTCCCCAGGGGTGCAGTCCTGCATGCCCGCAGTGACCTCCAGCCTGTCCCGGGGGTGCAGCCCCGGTGCCCGCAGTGCCCCCCAGCTTGTCCCGGGGGTGCAGCCCTGGATCCCGGGGGTGCAGCCCCAGTGCCCGCAGTGACCCCCAGCCTGTCCCGGGGGTGCAGCCCTGGATCCCGGGGGTGCAGCCCCAGTGCCCGCAGTGACCCCCAGCCTGTCCCCAGGGGTGCAGCCCCAGTGCCCGCAGTGACCCCCAGCCTGTCCCAGGGGTGCAGCCCTGGATGCCCGCAGTGCCCCCCAGCCTGTCCCGGGGGTGCAGCCCTGCATGCCCGCCCTGCGCCTCGCTGCAGCAGGTGACTCAGCTTGCAGTAGGATCTCCACCAAGGCGCGGTTCCTTGTAGATGAAGGCTGACGATTTTGCTGCAAGTTTCTTGTGTTTCCACTTACCAGGAAGCACTTGGGACTCGATCTTATTTGTATTAATCTTCACCACTTAATGACCACTCGGGATAACTCCTTGTGTTGTTTAATGTCCTGAGTTATTCCGCTGTTGACTTCAGATACTTAAACCTTAGTGACAGAGACCCTTGACGTGAGGGGAGTGCAGGGGGTGAATCAACCTAAATCCCAAACTACCCGGGCCAAGATAAATAGGGAAAAAAACCACGGATGGGGGTAGGAGGAAAATGATCCAGCTGCACACATAACTGTGCTCTGATAGCCAGGTGCCATATAATTTCTTTCAAAGAAGCAACAAGGGGGTTGAGATTGATATTGTACATCCACAGATAAGTGAGGGGTTAAAATATTTCCAGATCAGCGAATTTCTTAGTCTCCTGTTGCTCTTTCAAGAGTCTGCCATGCAGCTTTATGAAGGGCACTGATTTTGCTAGGTGAGAGTTCATGAATGAGCATTAAACATTTACACCCTGTTCACAGCTTGGTGTGTTAGTCTCCTTAGTACCTGCTAAAACACCTTGCAAAGTGCCCTGGTGTCCTCTGAGAGCATCTAATGGCTGAAGCAGGATATTCCAGCTCTGAAAGCTTCCTGCTCGCTGCTGCACCGAGGATTAAATCCTTTGCAGTGTATCCCTTTCCATTTGTGGGTTTAGCTTTTCATGTCCTTTTTGTTTGGTAAATTACAGGTACTGTGTTCTGTTGATTATGAAGTATTAACATAATTACAGTAATTCTGCCCAATGATGCAATGCATGTAAACATGTAATTAGCACGGAGGGACAACACTGAGCAAAGTAATGACAACATGCAATAATGCAAAACGCCTTTTTCTCCCAGTCATGTGCAGGGATACAGGCTTTAGAGCTCAGTGCCTTGATTATTTCTTTAGAAGGAGGTTTTGTTAGAATGTTTTGCTTCCTTCCCTCACACTGGAAAGAAAAGCATACAGAGAAAACACCATATTGCTTTATTCCTCAGAGTGTTTATATGTGCAACCCTCTGCACGCCCCCCAACCCACTGTATCTGATTTCCTTTGCAATATTCGAACTCCCTGCATTTGATAAAACAAACAAGCGCCCAGGCAGGTCACATTACTCTCTGGAACTTTTGAAACTGCCTGAAAACTGTGAACTTTTAAGAAAAGGAACAGAGTGTGCTATTTTGCAGTGGCTACTACCTCTGGCTTTTATTCCCCCCTCCTTTTAACTCAGAAAAAGCGGTGGCATTTAGTTCTCGGGACCCAGAAAAGCAATGGCAACATGGGGACTTTGAAAGCCCCTCCTGTCCTCCACGCCTTCCTGATGCTGACACAGTTTTCATCCTTCCCGAGCTGCTGAGCCTTCCAAGGGAGCCCAGGCCGGGCTGGTGGCTGTGGCTGCGGAGCAAAGCCCAGGTGAAGCCTCCCCCAGTTCAGAAGTGAGGGGCAGCAGGAGATAGGGAACCTCTGCAGCCAAGGGGGCTGCTTGGTTTGCTCATTTGCATCTCAATCCCTACAATGCTCTTCCGGCTACTCACAGCTATTCCATAGTAGTGCTCTTGGCTGAGATCTGGGAACACGCTCAAAGGGTGAGGCAGCTTTTGGATGCACTGAGCTGTTTTCTGTTTGAGCTGTGAAAAGCAAACATCTTTTCAAGAGAGAACATTCTGAACAGTAATTTTTTTTTTTTTTTTCATTTACGATTCAGAAAGAGCAGAACTTCACTGAAATCCTGGGAGGAAAATACTGTATAATGTCGAATGGAAACATAAATCTTCTGCAGTAAAGGCTTCACACTCCTCTGAAAACAGAAGTCACTGAGTAACTACTCTGACCGAATGCGGCAGGACTGGAGATACAGGTTCTGGAAGCAGCTCCCTACACTCAAACACTTGAACCCCAGTAAAGCTCCGCTGCCTTCCTCACGGAGCAACTCAAAGATGAGACTCTACAAAGTCACTTCAGACACTTCCTTCTAAATTCACTTTAAATATTTGCTTGTCACGGCTGCCAACCCAGGCACAAACAGCGGCGATTTTAAAGGACTTTTAAGGATTTTAAAGAGCAGGCGGCTGCAGGAGGAGAACCTATTAAAGGAGAGATGACTCATTTTCCTCAGTACTCAAAAGTACAGATTTGAGGAAAGCAAAATCAAGTAGCGCTTACAGATGGGCTCAAGCTCAGGTCTGGATTCAAATTTTCTTCAAAGCCTGGCTGTATTTACATTATTAGGGACAAACCCCCTGCCAAGCTGGGAGCCAGCCGGAAGGCACAGGAAGGGTGCTTTCAGATGCTGGATTTAGGGTTAAGCACATCTCAGCTGAACATTCAAAGCTGCTTTAAACAGTGTGGCAGAGCTAATCTGTTGAAAGGTCTCACTCAGCCTTGCTGTCCCCAGGGGATATATATGGGAGAGCTGTGAACTCCTGTGAGCTGTGCTGGTCACTGCCCAGCCATGTGCTGGTTTCACTACCTGTCCCTGTTTTACAGTTTCCAAGCAGCCCCTCTCAGCTGATTTATTGTCACGCTACTCGGTTTGCAGGAGGGGAATCAGGTCCTGTGGTTACAGAGCAGACCCAAGGGCTGGTGCCTGGTGTGCAGCCCCTCGCTGCCTGCCAGCAAGGGAAATCTGAAACTTTGAAGGAGGAGGGGGAAGGAGGAGAAGCAGGGTATTTTCTGGAAAGGCAAAGCCATAGCCAAATAGCATGCATGGCAAAGCAGGAGGGAAAGAGCGTGGTCTAAGAATTCAAACAAGCCACAGAGAGGACAATAGACAATGAATACAGGAGCAATAAGAAATAAATAGAATTTGTAAGGTAAATCCAGTGGACAGACAGGAGTGAGCAGAGTAACAAAACAGGGAGAGGTTCAGCAGCTGAATGGACAGTGGGAAACCTTTGTGTGTGGTGAGGGGGGACCGTGTTACTTGCTCTCATGAAATTAAAATCAGTGAAGAAAATACACTCATCCATAATTGCACCCTCCCGCTCACTCCTGAGTACTTCTTTAGCATTAATATCCCAGCACAATTCCTACTGAGCCTAAACCACTACATCACGTCTTGCTTTTCTTGTTTTGTTTTGAATGGAAAAGTTTTGGCCTTTGGAATACAACAGACATTTAAAGAAAAGTAAGTGAATCTTTCCTAAAAGAAGCTGGTGTTAGGGCATGCCTGAAATCCAGCTGCAGGACAGCAGTATTTATGATGAAACCGTGTTAAAGATTGCATTTTAATAGTGAGGCAGCATTAAAGATGAGTTGGGAGAGGGGGCGGGGAGCAGAGCTGCCCCTGTGCCGTGGACACACACAGGCAGCTCTGACACAAACAGCTCCCCCTGAACTGCAGCTCCTGCTGCACACACATCCAGCTTCCACCTCTGGAGGTTTGCATTGGGATCCCAACCTGCTCCCACCCGAATCAATGGATTTTGCTGTAGGCATGAAAGAGAGATATTTTATTGTCAGGTGCTTAATTATTGTCAGGTATTTAATTGTCAGATAAACAAAAAAGACTTTGTGAATAAAAAAAATCGTCATAAGATGCAACTGCAAAAAAAAAAAAAAAAAAGAAAAGAAAGGAAAAAAAAGAAAAAAAAAAGGTAGAGATGCCCAGACTTGTGATGTGGCCAAACCAGTAGGTGTACCTAGAGTTACACCTATAGGCCCTCTCTGCACAGCACTGTGCAAACAGGGATGGACACTGCAGGCAGGGAGGTTCACTTCCCAAGAATACGTCAACATTTGAGGCAAATCAGTAGGGTGGCCAATGTGTAATTTCTATTTGTTAACAAAATAATACATTTCCCTTTCTCCTCAAGGCCTTTATTTTGATCTCGCTGGTATGAAGCAGGGTAAGACACAGGAGTAACACCAGCCTTTGAGCAGGGAGGTCGGGTGTGCTGCCCTGCCCTGTCTCCCAGGGCAAAGCCCCTCTGCAGGGTGGGGTAACTCAGCCCAGGCATCCCTGCCTCTCCATGCCAGCTGCAGAACAAGACTGTACTCCTGACTACACTTCTCCTCATTTCAACACCTCAGCCAGGTAAAATACATCGA